CCGTGTAACAATGAGCAGAGCAGGTCAACAGCTCTTCAATATGAACTGATTAGTAATCAAATGAACTGATTGGTAACAATAAAACCAGCAGTCATGAACTTGTGACTGATAAATGTCTCACACTGTAATTGCATGCAGTCAGATGTGAGTTTAAAACGAAAATCCCAAAAAACAAGTAAAAATCATTCTGTTAGAACACTAAGAACATAACAGGTCATGGAGAAGGCAGAAACATCACGCAGATAGAAGCGAATAAATGAACAAGGCGATGACCAAGTGGCCGCCGTGCAAATGTCCTCCACTGTCATCCCTCCATGCAAAGCTGAAGAGGACGAAATCCCTCTGGTGGAATGAGCTCTGAAATTCTCTGGAGGGTCCAGTCCTGATGCTCTGTAAGCTTCAGAAATAGCCTCACACAGCCAGTGTGAGAGGCACGGAGCGGATAAAGGGTGATCTGCAGAAGTGTCCCTATAATGCAGATGCTGAGTCTGACGCAGAGGGACCGTGCGTGCTATATAACATGCCAGCGCGCACGGGACAGAGGAGATGAGATGATGCTTCCTCCTCTGATTTGTGAGGAGGAGGATAAAACCCCTCCAATGTTATTCTCGATTTAAATGAGCTTGTGATGTTTTTTGGTATGAAAGCTGAGTTAGGTCTCAGCGCAGCTGAGCTGCCATCAGCTTGAATCCTGAGGCATGATGGGGCAGCAGAGAGTGCAGATAAATCGCTCACTCTCCTTGCTGATGTCAAAGCCAACAGCAGGGCTGTTTTAAGTGACAGGAATTTAAGTGACACCTGATCTAAAGGCTCGAAAGAAGCTTTGATCAGAGCGCGCAGAACCATCATTAAGTCCCACTGTGGAGCTAGTGGGCATGACACCGGTCTGTGTCTCAGTACACCTTTTAGGAAACGCTTCATCAGCGGGTGATTAAAAACTGTTCTGTCACCGAAGCCCTTGTGACAAGAAGAAATAGCTGCAGCATAAGTCTTAATTGTGCTGAACGCTAGATTTCTGTCCATCAGCTGCTGCAGAAAGGACAGCACGCCACCTAGTGGACATGAGATGGCCTCTACACATTTCTCCGTGCACCAGCGCTGAACAGCTGTCCACTTTGATGTGTACAACGCTGTGGTGAAAGCGTCTAGTGTGTCTTGGATTGTGCGCACCACTTCTTGAGGGAGACCCACCTTCTCTAAGCGGATCCGCTCAGCGGCCAGACCCAAAGGTGCTGGCCTATTTTTGGGTGACTCCTGATTGCTCCTCCCACCTGGAGGAGAGCATCGTCCCTCCAAGGCAGTTTCCACGGCCGGCCCAATAACAGATGTTGCAGATTTGGGAACCAGGGGGCGCTCACGCTCTCGGGTGTTACAAGGATGACTGACAGTTCTTCCTCCCGGACTTGGTTCAGAAACCGTGATATTAGAGGGACTGGACGAAACACGTAAAGGAGCATTTTTGGCCATTGGGTGTGGGCAAAAGCATCCACTCCTAACAGTGGGTCGTCCCATGGGCTCAGTGAGAACCATAATTGACACTGGACATTCTCCCGTGTGGCGAACAGATCCACTGCTACTCGGCCGAACCTGCTCCAAATCCGAGAGATCAGCTCGGGATGGAGGCTTCAGTCTCCATGGCAAGGACTGCCCCTCGACATTATGCCCGCACCCCTGTTCAGAATGCCGGGGATGTACACTGCTCTGATGGAGAGCAGGTTTTTGTGTGTCCAACACAGCAGCTGTCTCGCAATGTGTAACAGTTGGGCTGAGCGCACGCCTCCCTGCCGGTTTATATAAGCTGTAGTAACTCTGTTGTCTGTGTGGATCACAACATGTTGATTCCGCAACAGGGGAGCAAAGTGCTGAATCACATTCCAAACTATGAGACATTCCAATATGTTTATATGAGCTGACGTGTGAGCTGGCCACTGCACCACCGCATGAGACAGACATGTTCCTCCCCAGCCTGACAGGGACGCATCTGTGAAAACTGAGATGTGTGATGTAGGCCTGTTGATAGGAACTCCCTCTGACAGAGTGAGGGGTTTTCCCCAGTGATTCAGTTTGGTTCCCACGGAGGGAGGCACAGAGATCATCCGCCTCTTCTGACGCACTGGATCTATGCGCAAACGGGCAAACTATCTCTGAAGGCGTCTCATGTGAAGTAAGCCCAGCGGAACCACAACGTGAGCTGAAGACATTGTTCCCCAAAGTTTCATGATCGAGACAGCTGTTACTACACTGCAGGGTTTGATGCGGCGGAGCTGAGCTGTCAGAGCTTCGGCTGTCGGCTTTGATAAACGGGCTCTCATAGTGACTGAATTTAGCTCCACTCCCAGATAATCGATCATCTAGGAAGGGAGAACCGAACTCTTTTCCCAGTTTATAGCAAAACTAGGTTTTGCTGAACTCCCAGGTTCAACAGATGTGAGGTCAGCGTTATGGTTTGTGCAGCTGCTTCCTGTCTGGATCGAGTTAACAGCAGCAGATCGTCCAGATAAAAAGAATTCTCATTCCTGCTCTGTGTAACGGCTGCAGAGCCGTCTCCACGCATTCTGAAAACGTGCGTGGGGCGAGAGAATAACCAAACGGGAGGCTGTTGTATTGGTCCTGGATCCCCTGGAAGGAAAAGCACAGGAATTTCCTGTGCTTTGGAATGATTGAGATGTGAAAATAAGCGTCTTTTAAATCTATGGAGGTAAACCAATCGTTCTAGTGAATGTTGTCCAACAGCTGATTGGTTGTCAGCATGTAGAATTGTCTCTCCATGATCGAAGAGTTGTGCTGGGGCTTCATCGGGTAGGGCACAGTTTCCGACACCTCCTCTGACTTCTTGGACTTCTCGAGCATGGCCTTGAAATTGGACCTGAACAGCGCGTCCGTCATGATGGGGCCCTCCAGCAGGTCCTTCTGCAGCCTCTTCGGCATGGATGGGGAGAGTTGGAGCCAGGTGGACCTCTGGATCATTGTTATCCAGGCGGCGATGCGAGACAGACAGACTACAGAGGAGGCACACAAGTTCAGGATGACATCAAACGCCTTGCAGAGCGAGCCCTTCATCTCCTCAGGCAGGTCTGTGTCCTCCAGCCTCTTGGAAATGCTGTAAGCCAGCTGGGCGACATTGTTGTTCGCTGCGGCCGCCTGAAAAGCACACTGGTGGGCTCGGTTGGAGAGCGACGTCACTGTTTGGTCATGTCTTCCTGGAGGGACAGGACATTGGTCCAACCTGGAAACTTTTGTCCCAAGTGCTTCCGCCAGACTTGGCTCCAGAGGGGGAACCGAGGGAAAACTCCGCTCAGTAAACCCCTCCACTCTGGTGATGGGAGCGAAGGTGGAGATGGGCGCCTTCAGCTTACCAGGTTCGGCTGCAGCCTCGTTCCAGTAGGACGTCACTGCTGGGAAACGAGGCCAGATGGGATCAGGGCGGCGAGCCAGGGTGAAGCCAAACCTTCCCACTAGATCTTCTGATCTGGGCGGGGGGGAGGAGAGGGATGGAAAGTCCCTTTGTGTCAGCTGCCTCCTGGATTATGCCGGGCAGCTCCGAGATGAGGGCACTGACGGCTGAGAGCGGTGTGTTCGCCGATGCGAAAAGGGTGAGCATCCCCCCCCCCCCATTCCAACACTACGCTCTCCAGGAGGGAATGAGCAGCGGGGCTGCTGCTGACATCACCTTTTCTGGAGGAATCATCCAATTTGCTCCGAGACGCAGCGTCAAAAAAGGTGATGGCGTCATCCAGCGAACAATCCCCTGCCACAGAAAAACACTCCTCGATGTTAGCCTTGAACAAGGCTGCTAGTCTCTGCTTCTCCTCAGGAGGGAGGAGGTCACAGGGATGGCAGGAGGAGGCGAGGTTGGTGTGGTGGGGACCCAGGCATCCTTCGCAGATGTCGTACCGGTCAAAGCTCAAAATGTAGCCGGTCTGGTAGGACGGGCACAGGCGGATGGTGCTGGTGCTAGACATCTTCTCTTTTCTCGAAAAACAGTGCTGGTCAGCTGAAGAAAAAATGGGAGTCGATTACCCGGTCTCACTGTAATTTATATGGACCAGGGGTGAGGCCCACACAGCAGGTGGGCGTGGACTAAAGTTTTTTCAGTGCTGCGCTGCGTGAGAAGGGATAAACCCACTAGTGATAACCGTAAAGGGCGAAGCCTATATGAAATAGAACAGACTGTCTGCTTCGCAGCTTGATTGAATACTTGCAACCAAGATATATTTTACGTTTACCATCCAGGAGACATTTATCAGTACAACAGTAGAATATCATTTTTAAAAAAAAACATGAATTGAAAAATAAAAGAAAATTATATTTTAAAAAAAGAAACAAAAACAGCTACATTTTAAAGTGACGTAAAATACTAAAAACAGGAACATGGCTGTGTTGGTTTTTGCCATGAATTTAGCTTGAAGCCATTTAATCACTTTAATATCCGCTTCGGCATATTGTTTTTATGCTATTAGTGCTTAGTGTATATTTAGTTGATGTTTTTCTTAGTTCATATCTTAGATCTTATTGCTGTTTTTCTTTTACATTTTATTGTTGGATGTAACTGGGACCCTGTGTACATAATCTCATTCCACCACATGTGGTGTGTATGACAATAAAACTCTCTGACTCTGACTTTAAAGCTAGAAATAAAAACATGTTTTGTGTTAGCAGAATTTAATTCTAATTTTGAAACTTATCCAACATTAATAAAATTTACCTCAAGTTGCCTTTTTGGACATGCATGCATATAGTTATACAAATTGTACTTGCCTGTAGAGAGGAGATTACTACACCCTCATACAAAATCAATGATGATCATCATACCGGAACTGGATCGGCATCGGCCGATATCCAGATTTAGGTATCAGGATCGGATCAGAAGTAAAAAAAAAAAAGTGGATCGTGCATCCCTAATTGGCACCACAGATAAACTCATTGTTTCCATTCAACACTGTAACATCAGCTGAGTCTAAGGTCTAAATGTGGACCATGTGGGTCCTGGAAGGTCAGACCTGGTTCAGGAGAAGTTGGTGGACTGGCAAGCCCGCCAGCAGGGCCACTTCCCGGGCATGGCTGTAGAGCCCCCTGGTTTGGAGAGCATCCACAATGAGCTGGAGTTCCTCCTGTTGGACAGAAGAGGAGGTGCACTGGAGGAGCCTGGAGGGCAGCTTGACCTCTAAACCCTGAAGCAGTTGACTCAGCTGACTCAGCTTCCTGAAATCCGGACCTACACAGATATACAGCAGATACAAACACTCAGGATCAGCCATCTGTCTGTGTGCACATTACAGTCGACTTCTTAAGGTCGGGCACTTTCAGATGGATTTAAACAAATAAACGACTGCAGTGTCCAGAGGACAACGAGAATAAAGTGCTCAACAAATCACATTCAGCGCATTTTAATTTGGAAAAGGATTCAACCATTTCTGTCTCCGAACCACCCAAAACACAAAAACGGAAAACAGAGGTTTGTTTCTGCCAACAGACTAATGAGTGCTTGGAATTATTAAAAAAATAAATAAATAAACCCACAAAGGTCAAAGAGCTGTCATGAATAAGTATATAGAATAATAAATATATGAATAATAAATATAGTACAGTAGTCTCTCACTAGTTTGCGGTTCGTTTATCACGGACTCGTTCTCTCGCGGTTTTTCAAAATAAGATTGGACAGGACACTCAAATGGCTGATTGATGGATGAGCCACACGATCGGCATGGACTTTTTATTTAAAATAATTTTTTTATTATTTAGCACGTGCTGCACATTTGTGCAGCCCAGAGCGGCAGAAAAAGTGTCCTCCTACACCTCTGTGCAGCCCACACTGCAGGATAAGCTTCCTGCTGCAGCTAATCAGCTGTTCTCAATGCAGAGCGGAGAAGTGGGAATAGCCAAGAACGCTTGCAGGTGGCAAACGGTGCCATAGAGAGAGAAAGAGTGTTGCGATACTCCCATACACTTCTATAGAAAGAATGGAATGTGGAAGTCACGTTGGTCATACAGCAGCAAATAGTTCCAAACAGCAGCAGTTCTAGTACTGAACATAGTTCATTCTCTGAAGTGTTTTTTCTGGTAAGTTGATGAAAATGCAACACTTTTTTGCCATTGTGAAGTGTTATCTGACTGTTCTGTACCACAGTTTATCAACATTAATACTTCATGTCACCAGTTTTAGTTAATTAAGAATGTTAAATTGCTAGTTATGTTTTAACTAGAGCTAGCTCATTCATTGCCAACATGATGGGTTTAAGCGGGTCTATCTTAATCTTAAGTGGGTCTGTCTAATTCAGCATTTTAAAATATCCATTACAGCTTCAATTTCGAACATTAATTTTTTTTTCAATTTTTGTGGTAAGTCCAGTTACTGAACCATCTCAACTAGAAAATATTTAGCCTTTTTTCTGAGAGATTGCTTTGGTTAATTTAGTTCAAGTTATAGATCCTTCGTCAAAGACTGCAGCATAAATTGTGACATAATCATTAAAGAAAAACGTGATTGTGGAGATGAGTAATTCTTTTTGTTTTCCAAGTAATCCACAGAGAATGACTTCAGTGAACTGTTGAAGCATGTTGCATTCAAAGTATCACAAAGGTAACAATATCTCTTTTCTGTCTTCTCTTAAACAATAATTGCTGAATCAAGTGAAATGAAATAAATGTAAGGGACATAAAAACTCCCTCCAAGCATACCATCCATATGTACAAGTGTTGAAGCCCCTCCTATTCTTCATGCTTTGTAAAAATATGGCCAAATTTCTTTTCCCATTGTTAATGTGTTTTTTTTTTCGCAGAACTGCACTAATTCTCGTCTGTCTGTGAAGTTGTCCTATCCTCCTTATGCAATTTTTTAATGTTCTAATTGCTCTCTCAGGTTTCTCATCTCTATTCTGTTCTGTGCATTGTCTGTTGATACATACTCCTGGCCCTGTTGACCCTGGCTCATCATCAATTCCTGGCATGTCCCTGTCCTCTGAGACTACATTTTCATCATCTGCTGATGCCAAGGAGGATGACTCCTCATTCGGACTTGGGCACATTTTCACTTTGTCCAAATTTGATCTGATACAGTTTGTTGATGTAGATGTAAATAATAAATAGTTTAAATGATAGTAAAAGTATCCTGATGCATGCTAAATAATCCAGGTAGAAAAATCCAAAAAAGTTAAATCTAGTCCTCTGGACATTCAAAAAAAAAAAAAAAAAAATTGTAGAAACGTTTCGTCTTTCATCCGAAAGACTTCTTCAGTCTGAGGTGCTGTATTCAGCTCAGTCTCTTAAATAGCACCGTCTCAGAGTGGATCAACCAGTTTGCTGCTGACAACCAAAACCAGCTGATCACATGCTCAAGAAGGACCATCAGCCTAACAATGGATCATTAGCACACTGATGGCTGTTTACTATTCACAGGAGGCTGAGTGATACTAGCAATCACAGCATTGTAAGAGGGGGACAGTTGAACCTGGAGGCCTCCACCCCTGTTTAATGATGGACGGTTTCTTTTCACAAAGATGGCCTCCTTTACTCCTCTCTCAAGCCATCGTTCCTCTCTGTCCAGGATGTGAACATCTTCATCCCTGAAAGAGTGACCGCTGGCCTGGAGATGAGTGTAGATCGCAGAGTCCTGGCCTGATGATGTTGATCTTCTGTGCTGGTCCATCCTTGTGGCCAGTGGCCGTTTAGTTTCCCTGATGTAAGACTGATCACCCTCCTGACACTGAACAACATACCCAATATTACTCTGTTTGTGCCGGGGGACTGGATCTTTGAGATGAACCAGTCTTTGCCGTAATGTATTTTGGGGTTTAAAAGCCACTGGGACGTTATGTTTAGAAAATAAACGTCTCAGTTTCTTTGATACTCCCGCAACATATGGAATGACCACTGGTCTGGGTTCCTCCTTTTCACCTGATGGCTGACTGGAGTCCTGTTTCGGTTTCTTCACTACTTTCAGGAAGGCCCAGTTAGGATATCCACATTGCGCACCTATGGGGTCTCCAGTTTCTCCTATTGTTGCCAACCTGTACATGGAGGAGGTAGAAAAGAGAGCCTTGACGTCCTTTTCAGGGACACCACCAAGTCATTGGTTCAGGTATGTTGACGACACATGGGTTAAAATTAAATCTCAGGAAGTCCAACATTTTACTGACCACATCAACTCTGTGGATACATACATCAAGTTCACACGAGAAGATGAAAAAAATGGCAAGTTGGCTTTCTTGGACTGTGAGGTCTCAGTCTCTGATAGAAGACATTTGCAAACTGAGGTGTACCGCAAACCCACCCACACAGACCAGTATTTGCAGTTTGACTCCCATCACCCTTTGGAGCACAAGTTAGGAGTCATCAGGACTCTGTATCACAGAGCAGACAGCGTCCCCTCTAGCTCAGGAGCCAGGCAGAAGGAGAAATCCCACACAAGACAGACTCTAGAGCAATGTGGATATCCTAACTGGGCCTTCTTGAAAGCAGAGAAGAAACCCAAACAGGACTCCAGTCAGCCAACAGGTGAAAAGGAGGAACCCAGACCCAGACCAGTGGTCATTCCATATGTTGAGGGAGTATCAGAGAAACTGAGACGTTTATTTTCTAAACATAACGTCCCAGTGGCTTTTAAACCCCAAAATACATTGCGGCAAAGAATGGTTCATCCCAAAGATCCAGTCCCCCGGCACAAACAGAGTAATGTTGTGTATGCTGTTCATTGTCAGGAGGGCTGTGATCAGTCTTACATCGGGGAAACAAAACAGCCACTGGCCAAAAGGATGGCCCAGCACAGAAGATCAACATCATCAGGCCAAGACTCTGCGGTCTACACTCATCTCCAGGACAGCGGTCACTCTTTCAGGGATGAAGATGTGCACATCCTGGACAGAGAGGAACGATGGTTTGAGAGAGGAGTAAAGGAGGCCATCTTTGTGAAAAGAAATTGTCCATCGTTAAACAGGGGTGGAGGCCTACGTGTTCAATTGTCCCCCTCTTACAATGCTGTGATTGCTAGTATCACTCAGCCCTTTGTGAACAGTAAACAGCCATCAGTGTGCTAATGATCCTTTGTTAGGCTGATGGTC